GCTGTTACGGCATCACAGAGTTTTAGTCTGTGGCAATTTCCGTAATTTCCGTTCACTGCATTATTTCAAATTCTGGTCCACTAGCCACCTTAAGAACCCACCAGATTGGAACGGTGGCACATCACCAAACAATAAAAAATGCCGACAAACCGTTTTTAACCTACATATAGGATCTTCTATTGCCACCAATCACATAGTTACTTTGCAAGCTTCCTCAGGCACAGATGGTACTTTTAAGCAAAAACATTGCCTAAGAAGAAGAACATTGCCTAAGAAGAAGATCACTGAATACAGATGGACAACTCACATTTCAGATCAATCAATCTGAAGATTCAACATAACTTTGGAATTTGTGGCAAAAGATGCATCACTTCTGTATACGTCTACACTGAAGGAGATTAGCCTTGTAGCTGATGGCAGAATAATACTCTAAATGTTTGCCACTGTACCAACTTGACCTAGAAACAACATACAAACGCATTCTCTTTGAGACTCAGGCCTGGGTTTCTTTGCTGCAAAAGACTAATGCAGCAGCCCCTCGACAACAGCAGGACTTCATCCAGCATTGCTAGAACAAGCAACTCCAGCCAAAACCCATTAAATGTCCACAAGATATCATCTTAGGCCTGTTTATTTTATTTTCTTCAAATAACTCTTACAAGAACAATGCCTGCTAATCTCTTGGCTTTGTCTGCAAAGCACAAAATGAACTCGGGAGATAAATATTGGAAGTCATAGGTGGCCATTATCATAAATCTCCCTTCTTGATTTTTACAGTGAGCAGATTCAGGTGAATGCCATTCTGACACACGATATGGAAGAGTTGAAAAAGATGTTATTGCTAGGAACCAGGCCCTGTACCTAAAAGCTAGCTATAGACAATTAGTCAGGGTGGATAAAGAACTGGGTTGGATGGTTGGATCCTCTGGACCTATTCCACTAGCAGTGACAGTTCCCTTACATAAGAAAAGCCAATGTTGGATCAGGCCAATGGCTCATCCAGTCCGACACACTGTCACACAGTGGCCAAAAATACCAGGTGCCATCAGGTCTGTCAGTGGGGCCACTGTGTGTCCTGGGAAGGTGCCTTGTGCCACCAGAGGAAAGCGCCACTGTTAGGAGAAGATTGGATTTAGACCCTGCCCTTCACTATACAAAGGAGTCTCAGAGCGGCTTACAAACTCCTTTCCCTTCCCCTCCCCACAACAGACACCCTGTGAGGTAGGTGGGACTCAGAGAGCTCGGACAGAAACTGCTCTTTTTCAAGAACAGCTGTGCCAGAAATATGGCTTGCCCAAGGTCATCCAGCAGGTGCAAGTGGAGGAGTGGGGAATCGAACCCAGTTCTCCCAGATTAGAGTCCGCGAACTTAACCACTACACCAAATAGATCTGCTGTATGCAAATCAATGTTTGTTTTTATAAGATGCAGCTATGTTAAATGTCTTGTTTTTTTAAAAAAAAAACTGGTTTAAATAGGAATTGAATAGAAAAGTAATACATTCCAAATTCATACTTACAGTCTCTTAAAATGGTATTTGTGGGTATCATAAATATGGTGTCGGCCAGCATCACTTAGTAGAAGAGCTGCTGTGAACTCCATTTTGTGGGGGTATCGTGTGTGTGTGTGTGTTTGCGAGCCTGGAAGTCATGGTAACTTCTGGCGACTCCTAGTGGGGCTAGGACATTTCAGAGAGGTGGCTTGATATAACCGGCCTCTGCGTCCCGGCCCTGGTGTTCCTTGGAGTACTTGCCAGGGTCGGCCCTGCTTAGCTTCTGAGATCTGACGAGATTGAGCTTGCCTGGGCTATCCAGGTCAGGGTAAGATTTAGACTTCTGAAGAAAAAATATGGGAGAATCCTGGCGAGAGCCAGTTTGGTGTAGTGGTTAAGAGCGAGGACTCTAATCTGAGAGAACTGGGTTTGATTCCCCACTCCTCCACAAGCAGCTGCTGGGTGACCATGGGTCAATCATAAGTCCTCTTAGAGCTGTTCTCTCAAGAGCAGTCCTCAAAAAAGCTCCCTCAGCCCTACCCACCTCATAGGGTGTCTGTTGTGGGGAGAGGAAGGGAAGGAGATTGTAAACTGCTCTGAGACTCCAAGCGAAGGGCGGGGTATAAACCCAATCTCTTCTTCTTCTAGTAATTTAGTAGGAAGATAAGGAACTTCTTTCATCATACAGTTTTAAGGCAGGAACCAAGGTAGCTGGGTAGCTTTATGCAAACCCAGAGGGGGCTCATTGTTTTATAAAGCATGCCACAGTCTAGAGCAGGGATGTCAAACATGCGGCCCGGGGGCCGGATCAGGCCCCCGGAGGGCTTCCATCAGGCCTGCAGTGGAACTGGCCATCTCTTGCTTCCAAGTTCTGCTGCTGCTGCTGCATCATAGCTTGCTTCGCCAGACTCTCTTAATCACTCAGCCATTTCATGTTTTAACCTGGGTCCTAGACTCAGAACTCTGAGCATGAGATTTCTGTGGTGAATGTCAATAAATCAAAGGTAGGTTTGCAGCTTACAGAGCTAATGTTTTAAGCATGTTTTTATTTTAAGTAAAAAAATATCTTTGTGTTTGTGTCCTTTATAAAGTTTATATCTCTGCTACTTGGCATTACATTTTATGACACAGATGGCACGGTCCAACAAGGTATCAGTTATGTCAGATCCGGCCCTCATAACAAACGAGCTCAACACCCCTAGTCTACAGAGTAGTCACAGACAGTGCTGGCCTTTATGGTCTCCATTTGTTTGGTTCTCTTTTCTGAGCTGGGCAAGGACCATTTGAACTTGTTTGGAATTATTAATTTTATTAGTCTCATTCCTCCAGGGAAAAATCCAGTTTGTTCTGATGTGTGACTTACGTTCTTGTTCTTTTTGACCTCCTGACGGGGACCACGCTGGCTTAACTAGAACCTGAAGCAGGATAGGCAAAATGAGACTGCTGTTTGAAGAGCAAGATCCAGCGTCATTATAGAACAGTGTGACTTCTGAGCAACTTGGTTTGGTGGGAAGGCGGTGTCAAGAATGAGACGGTGGGTATCTCGTCAAAGTACGTATTTAGAGCCAAACATACATCCTGTAGGTCAGAAGGCTCCCTCAACACTACATGTTTTTAAATAGCATAACATAGTCAGCACAAATGGTATAAGCACAGCTTTTCTCCAACATACAATTAAAAAACCAGGAGCCTTTATTCAAAAACAAAATTTTATTCACTTCTCTCTCTTTCGCTCATGAGGGAAATAGAAAGGGGAAAAAAGGGAAGAAAAAACATAGAAAAAATACTGATCAATTCAGAGGGAAAACACATGGGAACTCATAACAGAGAATTCTGTTTGCATAATTTTTTTTGCAGGAATGGGCATTTGTTCTCAATGTGTTAAGCAATCTTTTAGTACTCCTGAAATATTAAAGAATATAAACCATCGACCTTAGGCATACAATAGATACAAAATTGGATACAGCACTAAATGAGACAACATATAATTCCTCTATGTGTTAGTATTAAAAACGCAAGAGCTCAAATTAAGAAGAGTAACTGTGCATTCTTCCCCCACGACACCCCCCCCCCGTGCCCCTTCCCCAATGCAGTGGGCACTGGTGAGTGGCAGCGACTGAGATTTGTTGCAGTTGTCTGAGAGATCTCATCTCCCTTCACGCCAGAATGTGCAGTCCCGAAGATGCTTGGAGAATTTGCCGTGTGCTTGAGGCGAGAGAATACTTCCATCTCCACAAGCCCCAGATGTATTTGGTTACTCAGAAGGAACATCATTACTATCGTGTGAATACCATTAATAGTGCATTGCTTATATGTTGCTATCAGAGCCTTGGGGAGGGGGGGGGACACACAAACACACCTATCAGAACATATCCGACCTCAGTTCCATTCCTGCAAAGAAGCATGGTGGAGCACCGGTTAAAGCCATCTGGGGCACTCCTTAAGTGATAAAAATGATTATGCAAAGTGTCTCCGCATAACATCGGAACGATGAAAATCGATGCTCCAAACTACCGTGTCGATCCACCAGTGCTATGCGACTTTTGTTCAATCCAGAAGGAACCAAGAGTGTTTCCCTTACCAACTTTACTATAAAACATGAAGCCTATGCAGCTTAAGTGCTTGGATAATGTACACTCTCGAACTATAATTACACCTAATCATTCTAGGGTTGGGAGGGATAACGGAGGGGCAAGGCAGAGATACGCCTACCTAGAAAAGTGCAGGATCAGGCTAGCAACTCTTCATGCTAGACCTTCCAATGAGATGATGAACATGAGAACAAAGGACTACTGGGACAAAGGCTGTTCCACAGGAATGGGATCCAAATCCATTCTTCAGACTCATGCAGTTAGACAATATTATTGTTCAGATGTGCATTTTAATGTTTTTGGATGCTTCCAGCTTTAGGACCAAAGATTTCTACAGATTACCTTAGCTGAAGAGAGCCATATACAGATCAGCCTACATATAGCTCCAACTTCTAGTATTACGCCATGATTTGCAGAAACCAGTACCTTGCATGGATGTTCTTCATGAATTCAAGGGCTGATTCCAATCTTACGGCTTGTGGTTCGGTCTCACAGTTCTCTGTTAAGAAAACTACCTGTGCATAATCACAGGGTTACGCTCAGCACTGACCTTAGATGGAGGCTGTTGGGGGCAGCAGTGTATGCAGTTTCTACTGGGCAAGGAGGCTGATGCTGCCCACTTCTTTATATAAGAAAATGCATACCTATGAAATCAACATAACAGGAATGGACTGGAACACCTGGAACCAGTCCTCAGAGGACGCTTACCAATGTGCATCGGTCGAAATCACTAATTATGCGACCAAAAAAAGTTGTCTGTGCATAATAAGTATAACTTGCATACTTGCTAGCAGAGTCTGAGCAGTTTTGCATCAACCATCCAGTACATACCATCTGTACTTACCTGAGGATGGTGAAAAGTTGACTTGGCAGAATCGGGAGGTGGGGGGGGGGGGGGGGGGGACTGGTTGGGGGGGGGGGGGGGGGGAGGAAGCTGCCACTTTAAAAAGTCTTTCAGCTACAAACACAGATTAGTCGAGTCCGGCCGTATTCAACTGCTTAGCAGACTAGATGCATGGGTTTTATTCTTTTCAAAGTTCTTGTTAACTAGCACATATGCATATGTGCAAGACAAAAAAGGCAATGCTTTTATATAAATATTTACTAGAATGAACAGAAATGGCACTTTTAAGCATCTGAAACCACCCTGCCATTCACTAAAGCGCCGAAAAGATCCTGCTTCGTTGTTTGTCTTCTGTTTTTTTAGTAGTCGTCTTTCCTTATTCGTTTGGAAGGTTACAGATTGGCTGGAAGTTCACATTGGTATGAGAAAAGGAATGCCTGGCCCGATGCAGTCTGGAAACAAAGAGCAGGGCTTTAGTTCACTTCCCGCAATTGGTATCGAGCAGCAGCAGTCAACTGAATGAAAGTATCGTTTACTCCATTTATCCCTCTCCCTTCTTTCCGATGGGTGGCCCAAAGAAGCTTAGATCGTGATCCTCTCCTCCATTTCATCCTCACGACCACCCTGCGGAGTAGGGTTAGGCTGAGTGTGTGTGACCGGCCCGAGGTCACCCAGTGAGTTTCCACGGCAGAGTGGGGATCTCAACCCAGATCCCCCCAGATCCTAGTCTGACACTCTAACTACTACGCCACACTAGCTCTATCTTCCTAGAAACATCCCCTGGATGAAATGTAGATAAATCGAGGCGGTCAGCTGTGTTGGTCTGAAGCAGTACAACAAATTTAGGGTCCGGGGGCACCTTTAAGACCAACAAAGGTCTATTCAAGTTATTAGTTGAAGTGTGTATGCATCGGAAGAAGCATGCATGCACATGATCGCTTATACCTTGAATAAAACTTAGTTGGTCTTAAAGGTGCCCCCCTGGACTCTAAATTTGAATGAAATGTAGTTGTTGATCCAACAGGCACTTCACATTTTAAATGTGGTTGTTTTCTTTCACCTGGTTTACATTTAAAGATATTCTCAGGGGAGGCAACAGTCTTTTAATGTATCTTTACAGCATACTTTGATGTAAATACAAGATCTAGCGTATCACCAGTTGTGAGCTGGGAAGTCCTTGGTTCAAATATGCACAGCTGGGGTAAAAGGTAAAGGTTTCCCTCGCTCGAAAGCCAGTCGAATCCGACTCTAGGGTTGCAGTGCTCATCTCCGTTTCAAAGCCAAAGAGCCAGCGCTGTCCGAAGACGTTTCCGTGATCATGTGGCCGGCATGACTAAACACCAAGGTGCACGGAACGCTGTTACCTTTCCACCGAAGTGGTACCTCTTTATCTACTTGCAATTTCTTGCTTTCGAACTGCTAGGTTGGCTTAAGCTTGCCAGCTATGGAAAGAAAAGCCTGATTTAACCCGATTGTAAAATGGTCAGAAACCACCTTTGCAACCTACAGGAGAACTGTTCACATCTAGTGATCTCTAAATGGAAGGATCAGGTCCTCTTCTTATATGCCCTGGCAACAGCTGGACAAAGCAACACATCACACATACTGCAAACTCAGTTTTCCACAAAAGTCTTTGTTACTACTGAAATTAATGGAAAGCATTCAGTGGATAGCTGTTCTCTAAGTTGCTCGAGGCACGGGTCTACTTGGCAAGGAGAGCCCATGATGTCTGATGGGGGGAAATGGACATTTAATGTTAGCCCGTTATCCTGCTGGACTTACCAAGCGCAGCCTCGCAACGATGCATGTCAAGAGTCCCCATGACATCTGAGAACTAGACATAATTTTTAAAAGGAAAAAAACTCCCATATTATTGCAGAGATCTCACAGTTCTTTTCAGAAGTGATTTCATTAATTATCCACTCAAAATGGATAATCTGAAATCAGCTGTGAAATCTGAAATTTCACAGCTGACAGAACACGATATTAAGACATCTCCTTTTTTTGTTGAAAACTTTCTCTGATGTCTCTGAAGTCTCTTCTGACCGGTTAATGGCTAGCATTTTTCTTGGAAACATGTATTAAGTAGTTACCTGCAAAGGGAAGGAACTGGCTTACCTCTAGTACAAGAAGAAAAATCTTGTTCTGTGAGTGGCTGCCATACTTTCAGACATATTTCTGACTTTCAGGTAATTGACAAAACCTCGGAAAAACAAGAGGAGGCCTAAAAGCAGAGATACAATACGGAACATAGCGATTAGAATTTGCCATCAGATTCTTCATTGTTTCTACTGTTACAGACTTACCTGGTAACCTGTCTGGAATTAATCACAAGGTAGTAAGTCTTCAGAGATCCGGTATTCCACATACACATACGAAGAGCTAGTATTTAGTCAAAGTCACATCAACATACCATAAGAAAAGTATGCTTTCTATGAGGGAAGTGGGGAAAAATATGGAAGAACTTTAAAAGAGCACAATTTGGATAAAGCTGAAGTTTTCTGTACCGCATAGTCTACCCTCAATCACCCTTGAAGCTTCTAGGAAATGACTTCTGACAAATCCAAAAGTAGGGCTGCACCAAATGCTCACAAGGTTTGTTTTCTTGAAATGTAACAACGTGCCATTTGGGAATGTGTGAAATTCTCAGGAAGGACAGTGCTGGGGGCGGGGAGATCACCTTTTGCTGTGCAGTCACAATCCATCTGCCTTTCCTGGCTTAACACTTCCTGGGAGGCAGAAGGGTTACAGCAGGGATCATCCTGCAGACTGCCTCCTTTTAAAGTCACAACGGGCGACTTTAAAGGAAGGAAAGCTATTTTGCTTTTTCACGTGCTTATGGAAGACCTCAAAATGAGGTCCGACTTTGCGAAGGGAAAGTGTTTCGCAAAACGGGCATCTGTTTCAGCTGACCCCTACATCTGAAAACTGCATTCTTTATTTCGCTCCGTACTTAGTTTCATAGAAGGTGGATTCAGATGCCTATTTTACCAAGTGATCAATCATCTCAGGATGCATGTAACCAATGTTCCCTCTAAGCTGTGGAGTCTTGTGAGCAAAAAATCTACTTTGTGAGCTACTGGCATTGAAGCTGTGAGCGAGCAATTTGGCTACTGCATCAGTTAGTTTGCTCTGGAGCCCTTCTTCCTGAGCGGAGACAAAAATATGTGAGCTGGAGGCTAAAAAACTGTGAGCTAGCTCACACTAACTCAGCTTAGAGGGAACACTGCATGTAACTACTTGACAATCCTCTTGTCGTGCAACGAGAAGAATTCCACCACACTTCCGCAAACTTCACTTAAGAAATCCAGAGCTGCAAAACTCATCACTGGGGCAGGACAGGTGACCGGTGCCCCAAATGTTTACAGGCAGACAATGCCAAGTGGCTGTTTGCCGATACCTAGATCCCTCCAGGGAAGCATGTGCTTCCTAAGTACACAACCTGGATCTGCAGACCAGTAAACAGCCATTTGCCCAGCTCACCTGCGGCCACCACTCTGCCAAAAAAGATTTCAGTGGACAAACAGGATAGCAGATTTCTGCAGGCAAGAAACTTATGCAGATATATGGGCCACACTGCTATGCCCGTGTCACTTACAGTACCTCAAGCTCACCCACTTTGGGACTTCCCCCTTTTCTAGCAACCTAGATATATTTGACACAGAAACCATTCCTGCCAAGGAGACAGAAGGGCCAGTTACAAACAAAACTTGTTAATGGAGGAGGCATATGTACCTCCTTGCATATGCCAACACAGAGTCCTGCAACTCCCATCATGCGTGAACTATGTACACATCGCTTCCTCCCTTTCAGGGGAGGCCCATCCCTTAAATGCAAGCTGCTACTTCACTGTTTTACAAAGCAAAACACAAAGAGCTGGGCTGAAAGATTATACAAGGTCACTGGGTAGGAAACTTTATGCACAACAGTACTGTGATGGGCCTAAGCCTAGGCATCCAGGGACACATGCCCAGGTCAGCTGTTCTACAGACCAAGCAAACAAGGCACAGGGGAACTGTATTATCATGCCTCTTCACCAGGCTCGTAGTGACAGTGAGGCATTTCGGGGCCTGGCCCCCTGACTTCCTGCCAAGGCCCCCCCGGACTTCCATGCAGCGCCCAGGCCCCCGAACTCTCTGTTGCTTCCCCGCATAGGCCAGCAGAGTGCAAACGTTCCAAAAGTGAGCTTTTAAAGTTTTATTTTTATTTTATTTTGTGACGTCAGTGCCCCCTGACTTATTTAAAGGCCCCCCGAATTACAAAATCCCGGCTACGGCCCTGCTCTTCATTAGTGATGTAATACCACCTCTTAAGACAAATAGCAGTGGTTTGCCGCTGTCTGCCTCTAAGCCTTACGGGGTCGCCATAAGTCAGCCGGGACTTGACAGCATTTCCCACCACCACCACCAATAGGTTCCCAGTGGGGTAGCCGCGTTGGCCTGAAGCGGCAGAACAAAGTTCGAGTCCAGCAGCACTTCTAAGGCCCACAGGCAATAGATACGCCTCTGAAGAAGTGTGCATACACAACGAAAGCCGATGCCTTGAATAAAACTTTGTTGGTCTTAAAGGTGTCGCTGGACTCGAACTTTGTTCCACCACAGGGACCTTTTCGTAGGCCGATGACATATAAGTACAGCTCATCCAAGTGTGACGAGGGAGGAAAAGACCTCAGGATCCCGTTATAGAGCTTTCCACGCTGTGGCCGCCTGGAAGAAAAAGTATCTTTTATGGACACACTTCTAAGATGGCCTTCCGCCAACAGCGACTAGTAATTATGTGCCCTCAAAAAACTGTATTTGTATTTCACACCTTGCTCCTAAATTTATAGCCTTTGATCTTTCTGCCTTTAGCTCCTTCTCCTTCTGTAGGGGTGAGTGCTTTAATCCTTTTGACTGACAGATCAATAACGAGAGCTTTAGTTTGATTAATTGGCTGGGGCCAATTTTAACTGATGGGGCTAAAAGTTAAAGGCATGCTTCCATTAATGTAACAGGGAAGAAATTACCGATGATGGCCTTTCCTTCTAGTGCTAAGGGGCAGTTTTGGTTCACCCAGTGGTAAGTTCCCACTCTGTTCCAGAATGCTGAATGGGCGTCTGTACTGAGCTATTGGTACTACACGGGTTTCATGTAATTTAACTGAATGATCAGTTTAAAGGGTGGATGATTAATCACCTAAACATTCCATAAAACCAGGCTTTATTATTGCACTGGGCTTGTTTTTGTTTTTTTGCTTTTAGTGTCTGACTCCCCAAGCTACGGGCATTTGCCTTTTCATCTCTTAAAAACACATTGCTGCTGTTTGACAGTGTATATTGCTGTTTACTTTTGCTTTCATTTGCCATTTTTTTAATTGATTTGTGAACTACCATAGGTATACTCCCCCCCCCAAAAAAAGACAGGCTAGATTATTATTATTATTATTTTAAATCAGCAAAATAACTGAGACAATTGTCAGTGTCCAACACCTAGCAATAACAACAGAATCCTGGGAGTGGATGGTATTCCCACCCACAAGGTAGAATTCCCCCAGCTGACCAAGCCAGCCAGCCAAGCTGTGGTTACACAGATACTAGGGCTGCCAAGTCCCCCCGGGGGGCGGAAATCCCCCCGCCCCAGAGGCCCGTTCCCCGACGCCGGGGAATCGGGCCCCGGGGGGAACCCCGCCCCAGCGTGCACGTCACAGGGAAGTGATGTTATGACGCCGGGCACGCTGGGGGCGGGGCCACGGCCATACAAGGGAAAACTATGGTTTTCCCTTGTATGGTCGTGGCCCCGCCCCCAGCGTGCCCGGTGTCATGACGTCACTTTCCTGTGACGTGCATGCGGCGCACGCACGCACGCGCCGAGATGCAAACGGGAGTCCCCCGCCGGCAGGGTAAGTGCCACTTGGCAACCCTAACAGATACTCGAATACATTTAGAAGCCCATTCCCTGAGTCTGTGGGCTCAGCAGACAGGCTTTTCAAAAGAAAACTGAGGGAACAGAAGCACTGTGTTCAGGAAGCATAAAGCCCTTCCCTTGGCCAGAGTGAAGCATGATTGATGCATGGTGCATTTCTAAGGCGAATGCAAAGCGACAGACACGCTAGCATGCAGAATCACTCCAGGTTCGCCTAATGGTGTCGCTGCAAATGATTTCTAATCCTAAATCCAGGCTTACACGTTTGAACTCCAAGCTTTTATACTGGCCTCATCTCAGCGTGGCTGGTGGTGACGCGTTTTATATACCATGAGGACAATTCAAAAATAGCAAGGATGTAGTAAAAACGTTCAGAAAGCCTGCAAGTGTATAAACAGAGAACTTTATTTTTCTGACCTTGAAATCAAAAAAGGGTTAGACTATCAAAGTCAGAGGGGAGGAAATTGAAATAAGGGAGTCCCCCGCCGGCGGGTGAGCATTGTGTGTGTGTGTGTTTGTGCGTGTGTGTGCACGTGCCTGCCTCCCTGGAAGCCACAGTTCTGGAGACCCCTCGTGTGGCTTGGACATTTCAGAGGGGTGGCTTGCTATGGCATGCCCCTGTGTCCCAGCCCTGGTATTCCTTTGGAGGTCTCCCATCCAAGTACTTGCCAGGGTCGGCCCTGCTTAGCTTCCGAGATATGACAAGATCGGGTCTGCCTGGGCTATCCGGGTCAGGGCAAGATTTAGGGCGATTTCTCACTAGAGCTGCCTCGCAGCACAGCGCCGTTTGCCCCGACACAAACATGTCAATTTCACACCTGAAGCTTCGGGGCTGCATTTTGACTCGGGGCTTTGGCCGATTTCCTCTGCAGTTTCGTGATCCTGGTTTTTGAGGATCATGAAACTGCGGAGGAAATCGGGCGAAGCCCCGAGTCAAATGCAGCCCCGCAGCCTCGGGTGTGAAATTGACATGTTTGTGTTGGGGCAAACGGCGCTGTGCTGCGAGGCAGCTCTAGTGAGAAATCGCCCTTAGACTTAGAACAAATTTAGATTTAGAACAAATATGGGAAAATCCTTTTAGTACTGAGGTATCTTAGGTTTTATAATGCAGACCCAAATATTTTGCTGCTCGTACTTTGCTATCTTGAGGACTTCAAGTTCAACCACTGATGACTCACAGCTATGTACACCAAACGCCTGTTTTCAAAACTACTTGGAACGATGCCTTATCCTCCTTTTGATTGTTATTTGATCTGTGGCAGTTTCTTTCAGCCATACGAACTTACAGTTCGGGTGGAAATTTACCCTCAGCCTTTTCAACGCCAAGTTTAGACTTTTCTCTTTAGCCATAGAGTTAAGTTAATATCAAAATGGAAATATGTTTGGATTAGGACTTACCAAGTACCAGAAATATCCACCAAAGCCAGTACTGCCCATTGAAATAGCCAGTAAAATAATCTGAGAACTGGGGGAAGGGGAGAAAAAAACAGGCATCAAAACATGTTAAGACACTTCGTACTATATTTGAGAGTACTGACGGAGCAAGTGCACATTTAAGCCAATACAAAAATATAGTGTGGTAAAGAAGACAGCACAGTGAACACATTTTGGAAAACATACTCCAGAAAGCACGTGAATGAAAAAAAAAACCCATTTGTTTTTGTTTTTTGTGCTTCCTAAATAAAGCCTCAGACAACCTGCTAAAAAAAAGCCTATTAAGCATTTTACTCATTAGAATCGTCCAACATTTACCATTATAAAGAAATCCCTTGTTGGGGTTCCTCTCCCCCCCCCCCTTCCCAAAGTCTGCCATCCCAAACACATTACAGCAGCCTGCTGCTTTCGATATTAACACCAAAAGTCACATTAGTTTAATCTTATCAGATGGGGATGTCTGGCTGACCCCACAAAAGGAGAGCTTTTGACCTTCTGTATACCCCCTGCTGATAATCGCTGCCAAGAATACCGGTCCCATAAAGACTCCCAATTCATTAAACTCTTTTCATTTTCAAACTAGATGCCTCCTGCATTCAGTTCCCAGCAGAGAGCTGAACTGGCTAAATGAACCTTGAAGGGCTGATTCAGTCGTTCCCCTGTTAGTGACCATGGCAGACAGTTTTTGTCCTCTTCTGTGATGTGGGAATCTGAAGAGGCAGATGGGGAGCAGGGCGTGAGGATTTCGGAGACAGGTATCTTGGCCTTGAGCAGACTCCAGACTGCATGCTTCACTGATAAAAAAGGGGGGGGGGTGATAATAAAATGTCTCCGAGAACTCAGCACAGATACAGACTTGTGCTTCCAAAACCACAGAGAATGACTGCAACTTTTCAAAAGGGGGGGGGGGATTGTTCCTAAACAATCCAGTCAAACGGCTTCATCGTTTTTTCTTCTCTAATGCCACTATGGTTAGCTCAACACATCACTCAGTTCTGGGATATTTTATACCAACAAATAGCTGGTACGCCTGGGGAAAGTACTGTATCGTGTTACATTTGCATCAGTATATGACATAGGGCCTACAGGTGATAAAGGATTAGATAAGTTTGCACACTAATAATTTATAGTATCTCACGGGGCATTTTCTTTTTAAAAAAAAAAGTTTGGTAGTTCATGACATCTGCAAAAAAAAAAAGGAATTAAACAGTTTACCAGTGTACTTAATTCAACAGACACAAGTAAAGCTTCTTCAATATTACCACATATTAATGAGAGGTTGGAGGGAGGAAGAGGAGGAAGAGGAAGAAGAGGAGGAAGACGCAGAAGGAGATTGGTGTTTATACCCCGCCTTTCACTACCCGAAGGAGTCTCAGAGTGGTTTACAATCTCCTTTTCCCTTCCCCTCACCACAATGGACACCGTGTGAGGTAGGTGGGGCTGACAGAGCTCTTTCGAGGACTGCTTTTGAGAGAACAGCTCTGAAAGAACTTGTGACTGAGCCAAGGTCACACCAGCAGCTGCATGTGGAGGAGTGGGGAACCAAACCTGGTTCTCCTGGATCAGAGTCCGTGCTCCTAACCACTGCACCAATCTGGCTCTCCCAGCCATCTCCTGTTTCCACTTACTGCAACCTTGAGTACAACGTTCTTGTGACTGCCTCTTATGTTTGGGTGGCCCCCACCTGCCTTCCCCAAGAAGCCCGGCTTCTGTGACCACAGCACACAAAGGGAACAGTGGCTTGAACTAAAGTGGAGATCCGAACACTACTCCCAGGCTGACAGAGTAAACAGACGGAAGCCAGGCATACTAGCATCACACACACACACACACAAAATCCATTTTACAATTATTTTAGCAAACCAGTGCATGGCACCCATAAAAGCTTCCAGGGCAGCTTCATCCACCAGCCCGATCAGTAAGAATCTCCATTTTAAGGTTCCTGAGCTGCTTTTGCTTCACCTTCGTCTTCCTCCGGCTCTCCTTCTGATGTGCTTGGCCTGCCACTTCCGCATTCTTGCTCTCCGCTTGACAGCAGCCAAGCCGGATGATAAAGCTTGACAAATAGCCTCTCTTGTTTTAGACAGAGCCTTTGGTCTGTCACCCCCTACCCCCACTAAGATTTGACCAACACAGAAAAGAAAGTCTGCTGCAAACCTTCTGGTAATTGAAAATGTTAGGAGAGGGGGGCTTTTTACTCATTTGGATACAGGAGCTTGTGAATGAATGGCTAGCAACAACAGCAACAACAACATTTGTTGCCTGATAATCATACAACACGCCCTGATGTAGAACTACTCTTCCCCAGCAAGAAAACTAAGTCATCTGTAGAAAAGTCAGATTATACCCGAGGTTATGCTGTACTTCAACAACAAAGCAGTCATACCTAACCAAGGCAAGAAGGAAACGTATTAGTTGTACAGTAGAGGTTCTAGTGCTATTTTAAAAAAGCAAAACAGGAGATGCCAATTTCATTGCATTAAACTACAATGAACTTCCCTCTCCTGCATGTCAATCCTTTGCCAGAGAAGAAATAATACTTCAAGCAGGAGAAAACTGGGATGCTGATCGCTTCGTCAAGCCAAGCCAGCCCCCCCCCCCCCCCGGTGGTATTGGTGATACCACAGGGTCCCTTTGGCTCAGCCCCAGGCTATGGCAATGCCAGCAATGGATGTAGACTCAACTACCTTAGTCCAAGTATACACTGCAGTACTAAAAGCACAACAGAGGTGGCTTGGCTTGCTCCTGACCACTAGTAGCCCACTGGGAACTTTCCTGGTAAATTAAAAGGCCAGACCACACCCCTAGGTTCAAGAACATACACAACGCCCTTTACAGAATCTCATCCTAAACCAAACTGAAGGTCCAAAAAGAAAAAGAAAAAACCCATCACAAAACTACTCACTCGAACAATAAGAATCCATTTGATGAGGGACAGCCCAAATCCACAGATAGCGCCGTATCTTCCGGCTATGGTGTTAGTTATGCAGAATGATAAGCAAAACCCAATCCAGTTGAAAATGAATGCCACTGAAACAAAAGAAACATACTTTTTGTTAAGACTCAGTTGGGTTCCGGTTAAGCTGAAGACGTATGGCGCTTACTCAATTTTATTTCAGACACTCTGAAACTAGCATGTGAGAAACTTCAGGTTTTTCCCATCAGTGGGTATGAAAAATGACACTACTTAGAAAGGGTTCATCACTATGGCGTGGAGTAAGTCACAGTCGTTAGAAAGTACCGCTGAACGGCAGTAAAAGATAGAGATATCCAAGGCCTAGCAGACAGTCTTGATGTACATGCAGTGGTTAAAGCTCTGATGTGGCCAATATTTAATTCTACACACCGGGGAGTGGTGGTGGTGGGGGGGGAGAAAAGCCTGGACATAAAGATCTTGTTGTTAAGGACACAGCTACTTCCACACATCTCGTATAACAAGAGTCCCATGTGAAAGAGGGCATGAAGGTAAGCAGTGTTTTAATACCCAAAGGGACAGGATTCCATTTCTCACTTTCAGCACTCACTGTGGAGTAATTGGCACAGCCAGGCATATCGCTGGCTAACTGCAAGTATCACATCCTAGCCTCACCCGTATGAAACAGTTTTTTATCACTCCGTGAATGAAGTGTCCTGTCAACAGAAGCATACTTATCAAATCACTTGGGATGGGACCCAGCCAAAGCACTTCTGAGCCTCGCTGATGATAATACGGAGAGATTTAGGCATGTGGTTTTTAACATCGTGGAATTTAAGCTAGTGCCCGTCCTTTATACCGAACCAACTCATGGTACTGCTTACACCTGCTACAAAATACGGAAGAAAAACCCTGCTGCCCATAAAGGAAATGGCAAATGAGCTACCAGCGAAAAGGAAGGAAAAGAAAGGACAGATAACCAATTTCGAATCAAAACAAACAAACAAAAAATGCCCATCTTGCTGCTGATGCTTCGATCTCCCATTTAACTCAGTGAGACTGTGAAGAGCAGAACTTTTCCTGAATCATGACCAAATACAGCTTAACCAGTCTGAAGAAATCCGACTGTATGGGATTTCAGGAGAGCATTCCAGGGTACCATCACCAACAAAGTCCAGCTGCGTTCCAAGTGTGGAACAGGGATTTCATTGCAGCTCTGAGAACGCTTACTCATTTTTTTTTTACACCTAGGTTAAACTACATACATTTGGGAATATTCATAAGGGAGACGGCTAGGTACTCTAGATAGTTTGGTGACCTCAATCACTTCACCTTGAGAAGGAGGAGGAGGAGGAGGGGGAGGAGAGTTGGTACTATGTACAATTTAAAAAGTCCACTATGTACAATTTAAAAAGTGCACAATAATGCAGGCCTTGCCAGATTTTCTTGGACTTCACATGTCACTCCAAAAAAATACAGGAGCCAGACTTATTTTTCAGCCTTCAGAGGTTTGTATTTTAATGACCATATTTTCTTATTATTGCTGCCACAAAACCTAATCCTAAACTCTTCAGTTCCTTGACATTTTTTTAAAAAGCTACAGCCCAAGTGTTGAAGCATATAAATACATATGGGATAACCCTGATTGTCATCACAACAAAAGGCTAACCTCTATCCTGTGCCTAAATAAGTTTTGTCCTTCTACGGAGAATCACCAAGAGGTACGTATTTATTTATTTGACTTACAGCCTGGCCCTCCTGCAAGTAGGCTCAAGGCGAGTAACAACAACAGAACACACCCAACAATTAAAACAAGTTATATAAGCAATAAAAGTTAAAAACAGCTAAAACGAGAAAATATTGGTCTGGTTAGCAGCAATTCATGGATCTCGCAATGTTAAAGAAACAAGCAACAGAAACAGGAGACCCGCCAACCAAAGGTGCGATGGTAGGTCTTTCACACGGGCAGATTTCATACAATAAATGAAAGCTGAAAATACCAGGCGCCCTCAATGAAATTTCTAGGTGCCATGGTGCCTGGGATTTGTTGAGCCCTGCAATAATTCATATTAAAAAGAATGGGTCACAAGGTAAGAAACTAACAGTGCACAGTGAATCAAAGGACCATATGCACAAAGCAAAGCTAAATTCTACAGACAATTCTTGTACCTCATACATTCTTTTTTTCCCCGGCATCAAAGAACAGAAATTGATATGATTTCAGAATCCCCACCCCCACCCCGATCGCAATGGTTTCGTAAGCTTCCATACTATTTTAACTAGTCGGCCTCTCTCTCTCTTTTTTTTTAATGGGCTCTTAGAAAATCAGACCTTAGTAACAGGACTGCTCAGTGCCTTCAGGATTTCTGTAACGCACACAGAAGTTGATTGTCTCGTCTTTAGGCACTAAGCATTTTGAGTTCTTGGCAGGGGGAAAGTCACAGAAATCCTTTCTTGTCTTCTGCATTTTAAGTTGCTTGAACTTCCAAGTGTTTAATAACTCGGTCCTGCCCAGAGATCCAATATGTTCACTGATTATGACCGTTATCTCCCAAAGGTTAACTACCACGGCCCAGCAACAGAGGCCTAGTTCACCGTGATGCCAGCCTGTCCTGAGGTATTTCCCCTGCATTTCTACCTACCCAAGCTTTGCTCAAATAGTGCCAGAATAATCTGCTATCAGAAACAGCAGCAGGCTTTCTATATCACTAAAGCAGACGCACAAACTTTCCTCGTCTAAAAGAAGAAATTTTCTCCATTCTAAATTTCTACTTTGGTAGGAGAATTCGGCAGCACTAAGTGCTAATTTGTACCAATTTTATTCTTCAAATAGTATTTTGTTGTTTACACCTGGATTGCACAAATTGAACCTATGACAATAGTCGTGCCAGATGCTCTGCTGGGGGCTCAATACACCTCCCATTTTTGTTGTCTGGGCCAGTAAAAAGAGGGATCGTGAATCACTTGGCAGTATCAACACATAGCTAGGACACTCTGCTTGGCTGGTGGGTCACAGGCCAGAGGATGCCACTGTCCTATTAACCTGTTATAACTTCCAGAGTGGCTTCAGTCTTATTCAAAGATACACACACACTTCAATAGCATATCTGTAATGTTGTTGTTGTTCAGTCGCACAGTCGAGTCCGACTCTTCGCGACCCCATGGACCAGCTCCCGCCAGGCCTTCCGGTCTTCTGCCGTCCTCTGAAGTTTGATCAATTTCATGTTCGTTGCATCTATGACACTGTCTAACCATCGCATCCTTTGCCGTCCCCGTCTTCTTTGACCTTCAATCTTTCCCAGCATCAGGGTCTTCTCCAGTGAGTGCTCCCTTCTCATTGGGTGGCCAAAGTATTTGAGCTTCAGTTTCATTATCTGGCCTTCCAGGGAACAGTCAGGGTTGATTTCTTTTAGGATTGACTGATTTGTTCTTCTTGCAGTCCAAGGGACTCTCAAGAGTCTTCTCCAGCACCATAGTTCAAAACAATAAATTCTTCGGCGCTCGGCCTTCCTTATAGTCCAACTCTTGCAGCCATACATGACTACTGGGAATACCATTGATTTGACCATGCGGACTTTTGTTGGCAGGGTGATGTCTCTAATTTTTATCATACTGTTTAGGTTCGCCATCGCTTTCCTCCCAAGGAGCAGGCGTCTTTTAATTTCATGGCTGCTCTCACAGTCTGCGGTGATCTGCGATCCCAGGAACATGAAGTCTGTCACTACTTCCACGACTTCCCCTTCTATTTGCCAAGGAGTGATGGGGCCGGATGCCATTATCTTAGTTTTTTTGATGTTGAGCTTCAAGCCCACTTTTGCGCTCTCCTCTTTTACCCTGAGCAAGAGGCTCTTTAGGTCCTCTTCACTTTCTGCCATTAGAGTGGTATCGTCTGCATATCTGAGGTTGTTGATCTTTTCCCCAGCAATCTTAATTCCCGCTTGTGATTCATCCAGGCCAGCATTTCGCATGATGTACTCTGCATATATATTAAATAAGCAAGGTGACAATATACATCCTTGTCGTACTCCTTTTCCTATGCTAAACCAGTCAGTTGTTCCATATCCGGTTCTGTCGCTTCTTGACTCTTATACTGGTTTCTCAAGAGACATGTGAGGTGGTCTGGTACTCCCATCTCTTTAAGGACCTGCCATAGTTTGTTGTGATCCACACAGTCAAACGCTTTAGCATAGTCAATGAAGCAGAAGTAGATGTTTTTCTGGTACTCTCTTGCTTTCTCCATAATCCAGCGAATGTTGGCAATTTGATCTCTAGTTCCTCTACCTCTTCGAAACCCAGCTTGTACTTCTGGCAGTTCTCTATCCACGTACTGTTGAAGCCTAGCTTGTAGGATCTTGAGCATGACCTTGCTAGCATGTGATATGAGTGCAATTGTGCGATAGTTTGAACATTCCTTGGCATTGCCCTTCTTTGGGATTGGAATGTATACTGACCTTTTCCAATCCTGTGGCCACTGTTGCGTTTTCCAAATTTGCTGGCAAATTGCGTGCAGCACTTTAACAGCATCATCTTCTAAGACTTTGAATAGCTCAGCTGGATTGTAATAGTCTGTAATAGGATCTGTAATAGTCATGTTTTTTTGGTTTTGCTTTTAAATCAGAGTATCTTCATATCAAATTTCAGATTCATTGCAGGCAATTTTCAGGCACCAGCATAGATACTTGCAAAACGCCATCTGCTCCACATGACTCAGCCATTAAACACCAGCTGATGCAATATAGAGATCTGTCACAAGGTGGCGGCCGTGTATCACAAACGGACCACAGCCAGTTCCACACTAGCTCCCCAACCCAAGTTCAAACACAAATTCAGCCACTGGGAAACAAAGGAATAAAAGCTCCCTGTCCACACAGTTAGTGTACTGGACTTGGACATACGGTGACTTCACTCCTGCAAATTCAAAACTAGATGATGCCATCGTAGCAGATGTCTACTGGGGAGAAGACGGGATGCATCACTCTGGACACTCATCGCTGTACTCCAACAAATTATCAGCCCAGGGACCCCATCCTAATAAAGATTAGCAAGATATGTGTGCACTAGAGGCTGTCCTATATTATTTTAAAACTCTTTTCTGGCAAAGCTCAGGAAGGACGGCTCCAGATCAAACTGATTTATGCAGTAGCCAAATCACTCGCTCACAACTTTAATACCTGTAGCTTACAAGGTAGAATTTTTGCTCACAAAACTCCACATCTTAGAGGGAACATTGCCGCCAATACACAAACGTAGAAGATGCCTTTAACAACAGGATGAGAAGTGTGAGTTTCAGCAAATGCAGTACAGAAAGGGGGGAGTTCACTTGAAGACATTCTCTCAGCCCTTGCAGCTATTAAGGGTCAACTACTGGTAACCTGAATCCCTCTACGGGAGCAGGCCACTGAACGAATGGCTTCTTTTATATTTGAAAGTGGAGATAATCGCTTTAGCTTCCACGAGGGCTAGCCATGGAAAACAAAAACATATTCACGCTTTCAGCTCAACTCTTCCACAAGAGCTAGCCATGGAAAATGAAAAGATATTCACGCCTTCAGCTCAACTGAGCTGAACTTGCTCAAGCGGTGATCGATGTTTAACATTTATGCAGGCATCTCTGCGCTCCTTCATATTCTACTCCCTTATTTCGTGCTGTTTAAGGTACAAAAGCGGGAATGTGATGAACAAGGGCTTGAAATCACCAACCACCAAACTTGTAAACTTCCCAAAGAGACTGACTCCTGCTCTTATCAGATTATGGTTTGCTGCCACACCAGCAACCCTCGGAAGACCGCAAACTTCGACATACTGCCTTTTACTCTGGTAAGTGCCATTGGTTTTCCAGTTGCAAGATCAACAATATCGGACCGGATCCCCCAGTGTGAATCCCACAAGTAGCAATGCCTCCCTCTGCGGCAAAGAGCTTTCTCCTAACGCACGTGTGTTAGAAGCAAGCACCCCTCCTAACAGAATGGACTCGCATGGGTTTCGCCCACCCTCTCCCCCGAGTCCCACGAAGCACCCAGCTGCGTACACGTTAAACCAGTGCAGTGTAGGGAGACTGCGACCGAGTGCTACTTACTGAAAAAGGCCAACATGAAGACGCCGTCGTTGCCCACACGGAGCTGGTCTGCATCGCTGAAGTCATCCCTTGGGGGATATTCTTCTTCCTTTAAGGTGATGACAGTTGTCGTTAACGCACCGCGTACAAAACCAAAACGCTCAGGATCTCACAAGCTACCAGGTTAAGAAAAACACAGCTACGGCACACGTGTAAAGAAGACACATACACACTTCCGCCACTCAAATTGCTTGATCGTGACAAGCGTTCAGTAATGACTGGCATTTATCAGCAAACCCAGCACAGCCAACGTTTACGCAGAGCTGGGTTTAAAAGGTGTAAGTGGACTGAGCAGCTAACAAAGTTTTGTTGGGGGCGGTGAGGGATAAGGAAAAACAATCCATGCTGTTGTCCCTCTCAGGTCTTCAATGGCTCAGATCCCCTGCACAGAGGAAGACAAGCCCCCCCCCCCAATTGGCCTTCTGCCCCTTGAAACAGTAGCTCTTGCAGCTCAATGGGCCCGAAGGAAACAGTGTGGGGAGAGAACTGGAAGTCTGTCCCAGGTGAGTGGGCGGGACCATTAAAAATCTCCCCCATCCCTCCTCTGCAGATGGAAAATCACCAGAGGAGATTCTACTGCGCCGCTCTTTTTGTAGCAGGTATTCATTTGCATATCAAGTGACACACCCCTAATGTAGCCAATCCTCCAAGAGCTTACAGAAGCTCCTGTACAGTAGCTCCTGTAAGAAGAGCTCTGTAAGCTCTTGGAGGATTGGCTACATTAGGGGGTGTGGCCTAATATGCAAAGGAGTTCCTGCTACAAAAAGAGCCTTACCGCAACAACTGCTTAAATCAGGCCTGCGCGACCACAGCGATCTTTACAAAAACCTGCAGGGGGATGGCCTTTCCCCCCATAATTCACGTGACTGAACTCAAGCTAGGTGATGGTGAGAAGCAAGCAAGACTCCAAGAGTTCAGATTCATCCAACACTTACAATGCCAGTTGCTCAAGCCTGTCTCCCGTGGTGGCACACAACGGGAGAGCCTGCCCACGTGTTCGGCTTATATCTTGGCCTTCCCTCTGTGGGGAGCCCACGGGGGTACCAAGGGCTCCCCGCGAAGTCTTTCCATTCAGGCCCTGATCAGACCTGGACCAGCAAAGTGCGCCGCATCCAGTGCTCAAAGACTCTGCTCTGGGGCCCTTCCAAATAGTTATGGCTTCGTTTAGAGTGGGCACCAGGCACAGACTGATAATTACCTAGAGAGCAAAAGTTTAGCTTGAAAGCACCAATGCTCCCTCCTAAGCTGTGGAGTTATGTGAGCAAAAATTCTACTTTGTGAGCAACTGGCATTGAAGTTGTGAGCGAGCGATTCGGCTGCTGCGTAAATTAAAAGTGTGTGAGCTGGAGGCTAAAAAAACTGTGAGCTAGCTCACACTAACTCAGCTTAGAGGGAACACTGCCGCTACCCCACTGACAGCAGCCATCCTAAGTGTAGCTGGATTTGAGCCCAGTAACACCTTTGAGACCAACAAGATTTGGGAGGTGTGTGTTTTCAAGAGTCTGACAAAGGGAACTTTGACTCTTGAAAGCTCATGCCCCAAAATATTTTATTGGTCTCTAAGTTGCGGTGGCTCAAGTGGTTAAGACGCTGAACTGCAGGCTGTGGAAGGTCGGTAGTTCAGCAGTTCGAGACCCAAGTGTGCCGCATGACGGAGTGAGCTCCCGTCTCTAGTTCCAGCTCCTGCCAACCTAGCAGTTCGAAAGCAAGACATTGCAAGTAGATAAATAGGGACCACTTCGGTGGGAAGCAGTGTTCCCTCTAAGCTGAGTTAGTCTGAGCTAGCTCACAGTTTTTTAGTCTCCGGCTCACACATTTTTGTCTTAGCTCAGGTATGATGATTCCAGAGCAAAGTAATTTATGTAGTAGCCAAATTGCCTGCTCACAACTTTAATGCCAATAGCTCACAAAGCAAAATTTTTGCTCACAAGACTCCACAGCTTAGAGGGAACATTGGTGGCAAGGTAACAGCGTTCCATGCGCCTTGGTGTTTAGTCATGCCGGCCACATGACCACGGAAATGTCTTGGGACAACGCTGGCTCTTCGGCTTTGAAACAGAGATGAGCACCGCAACCCTAGAGTCAGATTCGACTGGCTTTCGAGCAAGGGAACCTTTACCTTTTAAGTTGCTCCTGGACTCGAATCCAGCTGTTCCACAGCAGGCCAACATGGCTACCCTCTAAAACTAAGTATAGTTACACCCTTCGCATTCCACTGACGTCCACGGGCTTAGAAGGGTGTCGCTCTGTTTATGACTGCACGGTCGATTTGTATGTCTTGCGCTGGCACACAATGCTGACCTGCTGCTGTGGAGGCTGCCCTAGTCACAGAGTCTCCCTGTTCTATATAGACCTCAACAGGTAACAGTGTGGTGAGCCTTCCGTGCTTACGGGAGGGCTTTGCTTCTTTAGGATGCTTAAGCTACAGCAAGAGGCCTGTGACTGTCCCATTCCGTCTTTCGTTGGTATGCCAGCCACCACTCGGAGGAAAGCGAAAGCTCCTCATCAGGCTCACCGGGTTGGCCTGAAGCTCTCTCGCTTGCTTTTGCAGAGAAGTTGTAAGAAACACCTGCAACTCTTATGCAATGCTCCCTCTACGCTACGGAGTCTTGTGAGCAAAAATTCTACTTTGTGAGTGACTGGCATTAAAGATGTGAGCGAGCAGTTTGGCTACTGCATAAATTAAGTTTACTCTGGAGCCGTCCCTTCCTGAGCTAAGACAAAAATGTATGAGCCGGAGGCTAAAAAACTGTGAGCTAGCTCACACTAACTCAGCTTAGAGGGAACACTGCTCCTATGCTATTACAGTGAAGCCCCTTACCCACCTGTGGCTGCACTACTATATGATGTCAGCCCAACCTCTGCAGAGCCAAATGGCTTCCCAGGTGATGTTTCTGATATGGATGCATGAGACACTTCATGAAGCGGACAATTAGAAGTCTTGAGAGATGCGTAAATATGTCACAAACAGCAATCGCCTGGGGCTCTTCGTGGCATGAAAATTTAATTATAACGCACACATTTGTCTTCCATAATGCAGGCTGGAAAAAATTACTGAAAAACCTCACGCAGTCCTAACAATTACAGAGACTTGCATGTTTTAACACAAACCAACAAAAGCTTAAGGTTTAGCTGCATCCCCCCCCCCGCCCTTAACTCTTTGCCCAAAGCTGGCATCCTGCAGCCTCACCCATCAACACCAGCCGTCTTGCGGTTTTGTTTCTGTTGTTTTACTATATTATTTTTCTCTGCTGGGGGGGGGGGGGGGCAGAGTCACTTTTGTTCTCTTCCAGGAGAAAGGCAGCACATGAACACCACAAACAAATATTTAGGTTATAACCAAGTTGCCAGATTTTGTTCACGTAACATGCCTCAAATGGAATCTGAAATGGGATCCCCATAATCAGATGCTTTAACGACCCACATTGGCTCTTGAAGAAATCCTAGTAATATTCCTGTTTATGTAGAAGCCTCATCTGGAAAAGAGAATCCTTGGTTCTGATAGATTTTTGAAAGGGCGACATTTTAATCTGGTGGTACACACTGGGTCAGCATCCAAGTAGTATTTAATGGTAACAGTATTCCCAGCGGGATTATAAACATCGATCAAGTCCAAGGACAGAGCAGTTCAGGAATGGGACTCCTAAGGGATGTGCCAAGCGAAATGCGTTATTGTCTGGACACCAGAGGGCGCTCACACACTAAAAATCCTCAAGCGTACCACGTTCTCCAAACCAAAGCACTATACTGGGGGGGGGGGAGAGGAGTGGCATACAGAATCACAAATGCCACTTTTACAGGCCAATCGTTTCAGGGGGCTAAAATCAGCAATGTGCCACTGAGGTCCTTGCTCTTCTGCAACAACTTATCTCAGGGCTGTGCTCCACTGCAACTAAAAGACAGAGGTACACCTGAAGACAGGACTCAAAAAGGACATGTGCTCCCTTCTAAGGTGTGGATTCTTGTGAGCAAAAATTCTACTTTGTGAGCTACTGGCATTAAAGTTTTGAGCGAGCAATTTGGCTGCTGCATAAATTAGTTTGCCTCTGGAGCCCTCCTTCCTGAGCTAAGGCAAAAATGTGTGAACCGGAGGCTAAAAAACTGTGAGCTAGCACACGCTAACTCAGCTTAGAAGGAACACTGGCTCAGCAAAGCTACGCAAGCCAATCCAGAGAACATGCGCTTTCCCTAGAAAGCAGATGCACCTGCTGCTGCCTGGTTTTACATCTACATTGGTTTGAAAACACAGACTTGTACAGGTGTTGTTTTTTTTAATGCAACTGGCTCTTAACCTTCAATATCTAAAAATGAAAACTATCACTGGAACCCAGATGTGTGCATTTCAGACTCATCCGGTTTTCAAAACAGTGAACCAAGCAATTAAGTATGAAGAGAAAGTTGACAGTGGGGAGATTCAAATTCTCAGCCATTTTCAAGCTCTGATGTATTCTACATTGCAATACCTTAATTCGTGAGCATTTCCCCCATCTTTTGCACACAATATACAAGCAAAAGGTATAAATTAAAGTATTCCCTTTCAGGTCTTTCAAGTTGCTACTGAAAAGCCCCACACCCTGTTTGCTGTTGTGGAATACACCATTCATTCTGGCATCATTCTAGATTGTTCTGAATAGTGTGAATATTAAGGAGAATACAACAAAGGTTATGTGTACTTCAAGCTAGAGAATTTTGGACTCAGGCAATCCAAATCCCAGGCTGAGAAAATTGACCTTCGCAATTTATTTTTGCAATTATGCCAAATGAATGATTTTTTGTATAATTTATTCTGGCTTGGATAATCATGGAAGGACACAGAAGCCCTGGCCTCCAGCTACTAAACATCTTCATTCACTTCTCCGCCCTGTGAGATGTAAACAGGCACAGCCTGCATGCTTTTGAAGCATGTCTATGCAGCCATAAGAGCTAGAAACATGATACTTATTTGAAAGGGGGGGAGGAGCTTGGATTTCCAGGAAACTGAATTCTAAACCCACTACCATAGTATGTGTGTTTTTCCCCTGCATTCCCAGCCCCAAGTATAATTTGGCTTGTAACGCTGACCTCGTTATGGAACGAGTGAAAATCTATGCAAGACTTTTTATTTTAGTCAACAGCACCCCACACAAATCTTCACTCATCACTGAACGCTGACCTCGTTATGGAACGAGTGAAATCTATGCAAGACTTTTTATTTTGGTGAACAGCACCCCACACAAATCTACATGGATGGGATCTTCACTCATCACTGCTTTATTTATTGATTTGATTTGTACCCCGCCCTCCCTGCCGAGGCAGGCTCAGGGCAGCTTACATAAAAATCGCAACGGATAAAACCAACAATAAAAATATCTACATAAAACACAACATGGTTACATGTGCGGAGGACACCATGTTCTCATGCAAGGAGCATCAGCCCTGTCCACGCAGCCCCCCACACCCCCAACCCTTTTGGTCCCCTGGGGCTCCCCACTTCTCAAGCTTTCAAGAGTGCAGCTGACCCATCTTCCTCCCCACTATCTTGCCCCTTGTCAGTGGGTTGGGAAAAACTTTGAGCAGACGGAAGCAATGGCCTGGTTCTCCGTTGGGCTGCCAAAATCCCTCTTCTCCCTTAGTCTCAGATTTGGATTATTACGAGTAGCCCCTGTAAGAAGAGCTCTGTAAGCTCTTGGAGGATTAGCTACATTAGGGGTGTGTCGCCTAATATGCAAAGGAGTTCCTGCTACAAAAAGAGCCCTGGAAGAATTATATATAACAGATTGGAGGTACTTCCAGTGCTGAGCAAAGTTCACTGTATAAATGTTTGCACAACCCTACCCTGCTGACATTCCATTTCAGTGTGTGCTTTTATGATTAAGGGAATGTGAAAGGTACCTATTTTAGATAATTTTATATATGATATTCTACCATTGCTTATATTCTTGTTTAATATTCTGGTGCGTTTATGTTGGGGGGGGTGCATCATGAATGAACACTTGCCACAAATTAGCTTAAAACACGTTCTTCGGTATTTTAGTAAACAGCAGCTGTAAGGGCAAAGGTAAAATAGTGCTACCACCAGGCTAACGCATCATGCGAACAGTTGCACTGAACTGTGAGCTCTGCCAAAGACCTTAAACTTTCCTCGATTAGAACTGCAAAATACAACTCAGGCTTGACGGGGCTAGTCTGTAACCAGGAAGTTAATGAACTGAAAGCAAATTGGGTATCGAATATAAAATTTCCTTCCATCATTTCTACCGTGGGGCTTTCATCTCTCATAAGCAGTAGAAGATTATGTCAGTTGTCCAGTTCTAAGGCTTGTTCCAGTAAGGAGAACTGCTCTGGAAACATACTGAATTGAGAGGCCCCAGTCTTCATTCCAAATGGCGGAATCTCTTACTGGGAAAGTAGTTTCACGCCTTGCAGGTAAAATGCCCTTGTGTTTTCAAACATACCTCCATCACTACAAAGTTTAAAGAATATTTTTCTAAGTCAGGGTTTTAGGAAAGAAATAAGGATTTTAGTTTATCATTTTAGGATCTGAATATTGGAGGTTCATTGAGAGCAGAAAGTGGTCAAAGATCTCATTGGTTTTTGCGAGCCAAGAAATTCACTACAAAAATCTAAACTTGGTAGAACTGTACCATACCTCTGGTGGGCTCAGGAATATTTCATCAAACAGACTCCTAGACTCCCTAAATTGGCCGTGCTAAGCATGTAAAGAAAATAAGACAGAAGAACTAAAGAAGTGTTAAGCCATTCAGTTCAAGACAAAACATTCAAACATTCTTTCTACTCAACTACAACTATAGTTTTAATGTGAGTTAAAAGAGAAACCTCGAAACTGAAATATCCAAACGCTGAAAAGCAAGCGTGACAACAATCTATTTGTACTTATTATACATGGGAAACCTTAAAATAAACTATCACCATGTTTCAAAGAATGTCATACCAAAGAATCTGCTGTTAATCTGGTACATTATTTTGTATTGCAAACTTAAAGAGTTTTCTAACACTGCCCCGTGTGATTCTAAACATGTCCCACAATGTATACTGGCCTCAATGCCTGATTAATATTGCTATGCAGTATACGACAGCTCTTTTATAAATAGGAAATAGAAGCTGAAAGACAGTGAACTAGTCAAGGTAAGGTTACAGTTCAACTGTTATTAGAAAATAGGTCTACATTAAATCTTTTTTAAATAGAAGAAAATATTCATTTAAGTACCATGGTGTTACTAGGACTGCAAAGTCACCAACATTATAAATATTATCAGATTTATATGACTGGACACCTTCTCCTTTTTCACTTTTCAAATATTAGCCCAGTTAAGAACCTCATACTTGAAATGGGCTTTCATTCATTCAGATGAAAACACAGTCTTTTTTTTTTTTAACCAGCATGGGAATCTTGCAAACGGGAAGTCTTAGTACAAAAATTCTTTAATCCATACAATGGCCATCACCAACACTCGGGGGGGGGCGGGATTCTCTAATGCTTAAGCACAAGCACTGCTATTTTAGGTGCCAGCTGTGTACAAGGCTGGAACAAACATTTTAACAATTTAAGTTCTAGTACAAATTATTAAGGACCTGGACTGCCAAGCACCTGCAAAAGCAGGGAGACCTCCTGGGTCTGCTGTTCACCATAACAGGTGGTTGGTAGAAGTTCGTGGTTTGGTTGATCTTCCATTGCACAGGCCCGGGCTAACAAAGGCTTCATGTTGCACATGAAGATAACTTCAAAGCTGTCCTAGCTGGGCAATTTTAATTGACAGAAAGCACTGAATGGTCATACTTCATTTTCAAGGTGTTCTCCACACAGATTTAAAAACAAAATCACCCTTTATTATTCTGGATAATCAATACAGGTCTTAACAAACAGCACAAATGTTGAGTTAATGGCCACATTCAGGCATAACAAACCTCTGCTTGAACACTAGGAGCAGACAGGCAACTTGTTTGCTGCATTCAAACGCTCCTTCCTTTGCCCCTGTGCATGCAGAGCATTTTGAACAAACTCCAAGTTGCCAGGATGTATCTGGGCATAGGGGAGTTGGGTTTCTTTCACCAACTGAGATTCTAAACTGGGACTGAAAGCTGTCAGAAGCAGGAAGCAGTCAATCACGTTTCATGTGCAACAGGGGAAGGGGGTGAGGGACAAACAAGCCTTTTATTCCTGCCGTGAACAGAGATTTTTCATGACATCTTAATGTGGCCAACATACAGATCCTGAAGCCAGCCTTAACTACACCTCATAAGGTTATGTATTTGTACTTTTCACAAACTGCTCACTCACTCTTTGGGCTGCCGCTTCAGCTGCAACAGCCGCCATTGCTGCGGCTTTGGCCTTTTCTGCTTCATCGTAAGTGGGAAGAGAGGTAGCTACACTGTACGGAGGTGGCACTGGGTAAAAGTCATTAGACGATTCCATTTCTGCAAGAGAAGACACAGAGGTTCACTTTTTTGCAGGCCAGATAATCAATTCCCCGCAGAATCACAATTCATAACGCTCTGGGAAAAGCAATATTGTTCATCGCAAACGCTATTGTGTACTCTAGCGGGGAATTCATGTGGCTGGTTTTACATTCTCATTACCGTCCGCGTTGCGTAAATCACCAGGTCTGTGACTCCCACTTTGTAAGAGCTCGGAGGAATCACAGACCTGCTGACCGACACAAAACAGAGGAAGGCTTCGGGAGACAAACATCAACGTTCCCAGTTACAAGCCATAATAGCGCTTGAGACGAATACAGCTTTTCTCCAGAGCTTGCTTCCTTTGTGTATTTTCCATTGTTCGTAAACTTATTTTGTTACTGCCTTTATATGAATAAAGATATACTCTGCATTTTAATGTCTGTGTGTGTGATCTGAGAATTACTTCTACAAACTGCACATGTATTTACTTCATTTATACCCCCACCTCTTTACCCCACGGGGGAACCAAAGCATCTTCTTACGTCATTCCATTCTCCTCCACTTAATCCCACCCCGTGAGGGAGGCTGGGCTGAGAGTGACTGGCCCAACATCACCCAGGGAGCTGCCATGGGCAGGATGGGGGGAGCCAAACCCGAGCCTCCTAGAACCTAGTCTAACACTCAAAACCAGGCCCCCTTGGCCAGGAATTTTTTTATTTGGGGGGGCCTTTAAGTAAGTCAGGGACACCACCACACACACACGCACAGAGAAGCCTGACAATGCCCCATCAAGGGAGAGGCATAGTGAAGAGTTCAACCTTCTCCCCCTCGCCACACAGTCTGAAATGGCGCTTTCCACCTGGCTTGGAGGAGGCCTCAGCGGTAGGTTGGGGCGGCCAGCCCCGAGATGCCCCACTGTAGCTATGGGCCTGCTCAGAACAAACTGGAATTTCAGACCTCAATTTGCAAACAAAGCATCTTTCACCTATTGATGATGCTTGCCGTTCGTTTTCCTCCTATTTCTGAGGCAGCACTCTCCCTTCTCTGTTGCACAATGGAGCCTCTTGCAAAATGGTGGCAGTTATGACACAAACGTGCATCCTCTCGAGCCAAAGAAAGTATGCCTTTTTTTTTAGAACAATTGCTTTCCACTCTATACAAATTCAGAACTTATGCAATCAATCAACTAAGCTCAAGTGACAAGACTATGGTTTAGGTTTCACTAGGAGTAGCAGTTACCAGGTACGATAACACTGGTTTCACCCGTGTGAAGAAAAATCATGAATGCTATTTTAGCCTAGCCATTAAGCATATGTAGCACTATTTTAGAAGCCATCTGAGCTCCTGTACAAAAGATGTTTTGGGGGTCACCTTTTAAAAGGGACAAAGACAGCGGGCATAAAGAGATGGCAACATCATGCACTTCCGGCTGAGAGGATGATTCAAGCCCCATTTACTCCTCCATCGACGCTAAAAATATCTATCAAGGTTATAAATGGCAAAAATACCTAAGGGGATTATGTCACCAACAAGAAATACCTGATGCTGCAGCTGCTTCAACAGCAATACTACAGTAAGGTGGAGGTGAAACATCTGCTTCAGGTAATGCTGCCTCTGTTTGCGAAGCTGGTGCAGTTTCTGTAGAGGTGGATGGTTGTTCAGCCACCGATGATTCCGAAGGATCGTCTTCATTATGAAGCTTTAAGAGACAGAAGAAACAAGTTCAGTCAGAGAATGCTCTTGTACTCTAACACAATGCATTAACTGCAATAAAGAAATCCCTTTGAAATGCCATTGCTTAGGGTTTCTCTTTCTCAGTATGGCAAGGGAAATCTGGGACTCTCTCTTTTGAGAATCACTACCTCCCCATACCATGCGCTGTCTCTCTCTGAAGACTAAGGCAACACCAGTGTAGGAAAGAACCACAATGTGGATATCTCCCCATGAGAGCCAGGACTTCTGTCGCCATCAGAACAATGTGGTGACGAATCATATGTTTGCATCACATCACAAACACAGTCTGAAAAGGGCTTTTAGACCTTCATCTCTTCACTTTCATGAACTATGCCATATATTTTATAACATGTCAATATCTGCATACACCATTACATCATGAAACATACCAGTTCTGCCAAGATTGCTATATAGCTCAGTTCCATAACCATAATCTGCCAGTTTTCAGTTCCAGAGAGCAAGCAAAATTTGAATCCAACTACAATCACACTGAATAAAGGAGTAGGAATGGGAAAGTGGAAAAGTACTACACTGCAGGTTTTACTCTACCAGCAGTGGCTAGGATGCAAGACTATGACTTTAGATTGCTTCCTGGGCTTCTTTTTCCAACCCAGAGATTTTACCCTAGTTAGCAGGGACATATTTTACAGCAACAACTGCATAGCATAAACATAGGTTCATGTACTGTCTTTCCATGCAGTCACTGTGGTATACTGGAAGCATAATAGATCTGGACATGAGATATCTGGATGCAAACTTCTACTCAGGTCATTTTGGGCCTGTCTGTGCCTCAACCCACCCTAATTCAAAAATTGCTGAAGATACAATTGGATAGCCCCACATATATCATGGTCCTTGAAGAAACAGCAAATGTAATTAAAACATCCAAGCGAGTTCTAGGAGTCGGAAATGAATGTCAACGGCAGCCACAGTAACAACTTATTTAGCTCTCCTGTGCATCTTGGAGTCATGTTGACTATAGTATATAGTAAATTCCTTTCATCTGTGTGACCTTGTTAAAGAATGTGATTTTATGGTGTTTCAGCTCCCTCATACCGTTAGTGGTTGTTTGGGTATATCATGTTTCACTATAAAAGCAATAAGGACAATTAGGCCCAGACGAAAGGAAAGAGAGGAGGCGGGAAACCACATTATGCTATGCGTAGACACTCTTTTTTTATATGTGCATGTGTGTGTGTGTGTTCGTGTACACATGTGAACGCATGTGCACCTGGAAGTCATGGCGACCTCTGGTGACTGACCCCTACTGGGGGCCTGGAGGATATTCAGAGAGGTGGCTGGATAAAGCCTGCCCCTACCTCCCGAATTTCAAGGAGATCTCCCATCCAAGTACTTGCCAGGGTCGACCCTACTTAGCTTCCGAGATCTAATGAGATCGGGCTTCCCTGGGCTATCCAGGTCAGGGCCTATGTGTAGACACCCTTGTGCTATTTCAGGATATCACAGAATGCTATCTAAACTGATCTCCTGTCAAGCACACTCTTTCTGTTGGATAGCTGATCATTGAAAGTAAAGCCAAACACACTGTAGCACTGGCAGAGAGTCTGATCTACCTTTCCTATTATGTATCACTGACTAGCTTTTATAAAAACATGAAGTTGAGTCAAATACACTTTTTTAAATCTTGGCTAATTTGCTGGTGAAAGTGACTGTATGAAATAAATACACTACTTAAAAACCCTCGTATTATTTTACTATGTTTATATATCCCTGTTTTCAGAACCTGAAGTTGGACTTAAGAGGTTTGCCAAATGTACTAAATTGGTGCCTAACAGGAGAGATGAGGGTCTGTTTTCAAGCAGAAACGAATAAAGAATTCTGAGCCCCTTCCTCGGCCAATAGCTCCCCCCCCTTTCCAGCTGCTTTTAACCTAGCTGAGCTCTGAAACCAGCAATACGTCCAAGGAGGAGAAAAATCAGGGGTTATTTCCTGCAGGAGTGCATAAGAACGGAGCTCCGGCAGTAAAGAGCCCAGGGGGCGGGCACATGCAACAAGCCCCACCCCCTGCTCCCAGCAGCCCTCAGTCAGGGCAAGAAGCAGCCAGGTAAGTTGCAGAGCTCCCCACGGCCCCCCAGTCCAAAACAGTCCAGTGGCACCTTTAAGACCAAGTTTTATTCAGGCACAAGCTCTCTCTCCTCTGCGAGGACAGGTCTCCACATCCCCCCCCCCATAGCTAGCAATCCAAAACAGTCCAGTGGAGCCTGAGCGGTGGGTGTTGCCTTCTGACACACTTCCGGTGATGTCAGGGGGTGTGGCATACGCAAATAAGGTATGCTAATGAGTTGTGCTAATGAGCTCCTGCACCTCTTTTTCTACGAAATGACCCGAGAAAAATTATCTGAGAACAGGTGACAGCAGAAAGAACAGTGGTCAGAAAAGATGGTTTCAGTCCTGCTGGGAATCCTCCCCAGATATAATTTATTAAAGCCTGCTCATTAACAGCAACTACTTATCACTTACACAATGTAGCCCTGTGAGTCAAGTGTGATCTTGAAACCACCAATGTCCGGCCATAGGTTGATGGTTTATAAACAAACTTTTGCTTCAACATGAGGTGAAAAATTCCACCACCATCTTCTATAACTAGTTACAAAGGTGACATACCAGTGCTCACAAAACAATTACCTTGGAGTGAATGCACCGTGATAAACTATCCAATGCCTGTAGCCTTTCCAAAAGCTCCTCAACACAAACACAATAGGACCAATAATTACTACGCCATGCTGCGGCAGCTTATTGAACTTCACCTCGTTTTCTGACCCACAGTTATCCACCCAACCATCAGCTATGGGGTGTATCCTATTTAGTTTAAGAAAATGGATCCATCCTATTTATTTGGCATGGAGATTTTATTAATGTTCCTAAAGCTATCAACAACAATATTTAGTCCAAATACACAAATAATATCCATTATGCTTTTCAGCTTTCAGAGAATGTTAGTTGCAGAGAGAGATGTCAAGGAGATTTTGGCCCAAATGTATCAAATACCGTAAAACTCCAGGATCCTTGTTGCCCTGCAAGGCGCGTATTGCGCTCTTATAGACATAAAGTCTATAAGTGATAAAAATGGACTATGCTTGTTAATGTGCAAAAGGGACTAAGATGTAAGGTGACCAGATCATGCTGCCAGCTGTACACGCAAACTAGCAGACGCTGAGATGATGTGCCAGTGGTTTCTGAGGCCACCCTGCTCCAAGATGTATCCCTAGCCACACAAAACACACAGAACAGCCACTCACCATTGTAGTTTAAACAGATGCTTCCCGATGTCATTAGGGAAGTTTTCTCCGCAACGCAGGCAACCCCCCCCCCAACCTTTTCCGCAGCAAAGGCACAAAAGACTCTTTTCCCGCCTTCCATTGACAAAGGACTTGGCCTTCCTAATCCTCTCGAGGAACCAGTTTCACCTGACCTGGCAGAGGAAATGGACTTCCGTAACAATAGGTGATAGCCGATGAGTCATCCCAGCCCTCGAGGTGTCTCTGCCACAGACTTAGAGCTTAATATTGACCAACCCTTTAAGCCCCCATCCCCATTGCGGTCGTGTCTTTTGGAATGGACCACAAAGGGTTGTCTCAAGGGAGGTGGCCAGCGAAGCCCTCCCCCCCAGAGCCCCCATACAAAAGTGGGCACCCAGCAATGTGCTTGCTCTCTAGATCTCTTAGCTCTCTAGCTCTTCCTAGCCTGAAAACCACCCTGCCTCTAAGACTTTTGGACTGCAGCCAAAGTCCCCACGTGTTTCTGCCGGTTCAGAACACGATCCCTATTTCCTATTAGTCTCTCCTATTTTTCCTTTGGGACGCGCCATCCCGTCGAGGACAGGTAAATATTGCCCCTCAATGAAACATCCTGCTCATGCGAATGTCTCTTGATTTTCTATTCATGCGAATGTCTCTTGATTTTCTATCTAATTTCCTAGAAGCTGTATAACTGTGTGTGTGCTTGTGCATTGTTTGCTTGTGAAGAATCTACAGTAAAGGAATCATTTTATTTTGAAACTAGCTGTTGTGTCTATTTCTGGTGCTTCTGGAAGAAGCGGGACCCTTGTATATAAAGGTGTTTGTTCCTTTATTGCCTATTGCTATTTTAAAACATTTCATATTCCCCAATATTGATAATAACTCAGAGCAATCAGGCTAACATCTTGTCGTATGGAAAAATTTGCTGCATACAGATTAAACTCAGTTCTGCATTCAAAATAATTCTGCAACTTTTGTAGAGAATCATAACAACTATGCAAAGTGTACACTGGAGCAAACAAAAGAAAAAAATATAAGACTAGGATGTGTACAGGTTAAGTAGTAGAGGTCAGGAATTGTGGGAGATGGGAAGAAGGAAATTTCTGCGTTCTAGTTTCTCTGTTTCTAAATCAGTGCAGTCTGAAGATGTACAGGCATGGAGAATTATACAAATTGGTCTTCCTGAAACTCATGTTCCTTCAGATGCTGTTTTGTACTTATGCAGCCTAATCGCCTCTTGTTAATGATGTCCAACTCAAAAAAGATAATTTGTTATATGTAAGCACTAGGAAAAAATGCAGCTAGTTTGAAACTTTCTGAATTATATTCTGAACATTCATCGAACTGCATGCTATTTTTGTAGCAGTTATATTTTTTCAGTAACGACGTCTCGGCATAATTTAACAAATAAATGAATAGACAAATTGGTATCATTTAAAATGGGTCTCCTAGGTAACAGGAATTATGAAGGAATTACCCACACATATATATGGACACACCACAAGAACCTTGACCAGGAATTTTTTGTCTTCTGGCCAAAGTACACAAGCCCAGCAACCTGGGATATCCTATTGTCTCAGACATAGGCACCATCACTGTAGGGGTGATGGAAACATGGATGCTATTCTCAGACGCTATGCCACCAAAGCCCCCAAGTTATGTCCGAGACACCACAGACTTCCTGAGAAAAGTACAATCAGTTAAC